CCTGGGAAGGCTTGCGTCCTTACGCCGAGGCCAGCTTTGTAAATTCATGCGATCAAAGCTATGCGGGCACACAAGTTGTGTTTGGCCTTTTTTTTTTTTTTTCCCTTTCCTCTTTCCTTCCTAATAAACAAGAGTGGGTTTGTTGCTTCCCTTTCTCCAGCTATGCCTTCCCCATCCCTTCACCGCTTGCCCTTTACGGCACAATGGTCTCTCTTGTAGCGAAGGGCTTCGCTGGCCATCCCAAGTTGTTTTGTAATGTTTCTAGCGTTTCCCTCAACGGAAAATCTGAGGAAATTTGGCATTTCCTCAACTGTAGACTTAGGCACAACAGCAGCGGAATGGACAGCCTGCATCTGAAAAGCAACTATTCTTAACATGACAAAGTCATCGCACTGCTGCCACTGGAGAGGCAATATAAGATGCTCTCAGAAATGACAGCCAGGTAAGGCCGTTTCAGCCCCGTCAAGTCTATCGAGACTAATTTTTTTCTTTTTTTTTTAACCACTTCATTTTGAACTTCCGTGGTAAAATTAACATTTCCAAATATCACGTTTATTACTGTTCCAAAGGTCAGAAGTTTGTACTAGTTAGTTGGCAGAACATGTTATCCTTTTTCAACATTAGTACGTAAAACATTATTTCCAGTAGTGTGGGAATCTTCTGAGGTTCCCTGCCAGGAACCCAAATTGAAAAGCTGGAGATCAAAAGTTTTCCTGAGTAACTGAGGGGAAGCCAGTAGAAAAGGACTGAAGCATGAATCCTTCTTTGTTAAGAGATTCTTTTTTTCTTGGTTTTTTCCTTCATGTTTTCTTTTTTTAACCAGAGATGTAATAGCAGATCAAGTAATTTTTCGTTATCATCAGCTCAGTTTATAGTTAAAGATCATGTAAAAAATTGGTCGATACTCCCCAAGTGCAGGTGGCTGGAAAAAATCTTAGTGGAAGACTAGAATAAAAAGTGTAACTGAAATCTGTGCTATAACAGTTCTCATGGATCTGTAATCATTTAAATCCTGGTTTTTAGAAGGTAACTCATTCTACCACCCACTCTAGCTGTT